GGAGAATCCTGACCTACTGCCTAAGGCACGGCGGCCGGGTTTTGCAGTACTGGAACATCCGTCAGGTTTAGGCCCCAAAGCCCAGAAATTGGGGGGGTGGGGTGGGGGGGATGGAGGAACAAGGGATTGGTGGTGGGGATGAGAGTGGAGAGGGGGGGGGACGGGGGAGGGGTCGAGGTAGGTTTGGGACCAAGACATTCGAGCTCCGAGACCTGAGCTACAAAACCTCATCCCATAGCTCAGGTTTTAGGCATAGGCCTGGTTCTGTGCATTTCGCCTTTTTGGTTCTGGGTTCCTATGATAGCTACTTATACCTAAAAAGTATATACTCTTTTTTCCAGGGTCTACTCCAAACTCGGGCCAAAAAGGTAGTACATAGGAGCCCTAGAGTCTGGGTCTAGGGGTGTGACTCCGCACCCCTCAGGCGAAAGCTCTCCAGCGCCTTCTCGAGGACATCCTCCTTCCCTTCAGGGTTTAGGAGTTAGGGGTTCAGTGGCTGGTTGGGTTTAGGGTTTAAGGGTTTTAGGTTTTTAGGGGTTTAAGCCTTAGGGTTTGTTTGAGGTCGGGGGTTTGGGGAAAAGGAGCCGTACCTGTTTTGTTGAGGGTTCTTCGAATACGGGGGGGCTCCTGTTTCGGAGATGATTCCTTGAGCTTCATGCCTGATCGTTCTAGTACTACGAGTAGTCGCAGTAGATCTCCGACCAACGAATCCGAATATGCCTTTCTGCCCGCAAATCAGAATACAGCACATCCGACCCACGAAAAACCCTAAACCGTTTTTGCATGAATGCTCTTAAGTACATTTTGTGAAAGGACAGTTTTACGTGATGCCCTTTTTTTGCCTCATGTACAAAACCACCATGCGAACACTTTTTTTCGAATGGACGGGGACAAAATGCTACTATACGACGGCCCCTGGTATGTTATGGCCGCCCAGGGCATCCCCGAAAAGGTGAAAACAATTGACTGGGAACCTCAGGGTATGCCGTATGCCCTGATTCCATTTTTTCGGGGGTTCAGGTTCCCTATGAGCCCCTTCAACCCAAGAAGGGTGCCCTTTCCATTCTTAACTTACTCTTGGGTCTTGTAATCTAGAGGCCGCGGGCTCTCAAGAGTCTGATGACCTGGGGCTGCATTCACCTACAATAAGGGGCCCCCTTACTAAACTGACTATAGTTAAGGGACTTCTAACCTAATTTAGGATCCTTATCACTAAATTTAGGGTCCTTATGACTCTACTTAAAACTACGGGGGCCCCTCCTTGTAGGAGTTTCATGGCTCCTAGCCTTGGAATTGCGGAAGTTGCCCCGAAGACTATCCGGCTGCGGGTAAAACCCATAACCGGTGGGTTAAGCCCTATAAACCCTAGTTACCCTAAACGCCAAACCCTACACCCTAAACCCTAATGTTGGACCTGCTTTAATAATGTAACCCCCCCCCCCGCCCAACAGTCGCGACCCTGAATAAAAAAAGACCCCAAACAGTCAGGGGGGGGTTCAGGAGATTGAGCTCTCTTCAGGGTTTTGGAACCAGATCTCAAACTAAGAACTTGACCTCAAAAACCATTAAAAAAAAACAGGCCCGGCCGGAAATCTTTTCATTATAGCGGACCCCCAAAACAGAGGGTCCAGATCCTGAATAGCCGGAAAACTTTTCATAATAGCGGCCCCGTAGAATATTGCGGGTGCAACATTAAACTGAAAATCCCTAAACCCTGAACCCTAAACTAAACTCTAAACCTTAAACCCTGAGCCCTAGACCCCAAACCCTAAGCCCTGAACCCCAACCCCACAAACCCTAAACCTGGGTTTTGGAGTACTAAAATTGAACACATGTTTGGTTCTGGGTTCCTATAGCTACTTACACCTAAAAGGTATATACCTTTTTCCAGGATCTACTCCAAAGTACTCTCTTCCTTGGGAACTATTTTTCCTTTTTGTTCATATAAAACCCAAGAGGATAATCAACATATTGTTTTTATTAAGGTTCTAAGGGAAGTATAGAGTAGGGAAACGCCTGTTTGCAGGATGCAGGGCTACCCTCGGAGATCCGGAAGCCTTAGACTCGGCGCAAGGGGTGTTCTCGGGTGTCTGATGGGCCCTTGCACGAGGCTTAGGCTTTCGGGCTTTAGGGTTTAGGGCTGGGTTAGGGTTTAGGGTTTAGGATTTAGGGTTCGGGTTTAGGGTTTCGGGATTAGGGTTAGGGTTTAGGGATCCATGTACCTATATAGTATATACTTGGGCCCCAAAGCTACTACGCAGGCCCCACTAAGGCCCAAGCGTATCCTCTATAGGTACATGGGTCCTTAGGGTTTATAGGGCTTCCAAAGCCCGCAACCGTAAAACTTGAAGACGCCCACGGCCCACCCCAACACCCAAAAGGCTGTGAATGCAGAGTCTGGACTTAGCGCTCTGAGGTGTGTAATATATTTGTCGGCAGAATGACCAACAGCATTCCCTCATGGCCCCTTTATGAACATACTATACTAACCCCCAAAACCCTGTTCTAATTATTATTAATGCCCTATTGCATTTTCTTGGTTCCTTCTCTTTGTTTGAGAGGTTTCAGGGTTTCCGGTTGGGGTTTTCGTGTTTTTTGGCGTGTAGGGTTTCACTGTGTTAGGGGTTTTCAGGGTTTGGGGTCGAGGGTTCGATGGCTTCGGTTTTCCAGGATTACAGGCTTTAGGGGTTGGGGTTTAGGGTTTAGGGTAGAATTTCAGCCAGGGTTACAGTAGGGCTTAGGATAGCTGACTGATGTTTTTGCTTCCTACTGCAATTCGCCACCTCAACGGCTCTCTCAATCCCCAATTGCCAATACCCTGTACCCTTTTTAGGGTTTAGGGTTTAGGGTTTAGGGTTTAGGGTTTAGGGTTTAGGGTTGAGCAAGAACATCCTTGAATCAAAGTAAGGGTTCCTACATAGCTCTGTGATTCTCGTCTATGTTCTGACTAAGCGCTCTCGGTATAGCACCCCTTGCAAATCCTTAGCCGCATTCCTTCGCGGCCACAGAGGTCTGTCGTTGCCGGAACGGACCAGAGGGCACTGCTTGCATGGTTGGTGGCGTTTTGAAGGGGGCGTCCATGGTGCAAGTTCCTCAAAAAAACGAAGGTAGAACCTAGATTCCTTTTCAAACTTAGGGTTTAGGTGCCCAAAAGAAGCTACAGGAACCCCTTTTAAGGCTCAAGTGTATACTATACTAAGGACCCAGGGTAGGCCCTTAATTTCTTTTTTGGGGGGTGTAGGTGCCCTTTTTAAGCCCTTCACACCAAGCAGGGTCCCTGTTTATTCCTAGGTTACTCTTGGGTTTTGGAAGGCAACGTTCCCTTGGTAGGCTTTAGAGGACCTGTTGAACCACCCCTTTCCGGTTTCGGGTTTGGGGTGTAAGGTTTAAGGTCTATTTTCTTCCAGACTGCCCAAGCTCTAAGCACAAATGGGAGTTTCACAAGTGGAACTTCTTTAGGAGACTCCCAAAAACAGGGGGGCTTCATTTTTGGAACCACTTTGGATGAAGCCCATAGTCCTTCACCCCCCCCCCAATCCAACTCATCTCAGCTATCTAGTGTAACCGTGTACCTTATAAACGGGCCGATGGACTCACAAGTTAAAGGTATGTTTTATCTTTTTATCGTTTTTTAATGGCATGGTATCAAGGTAGCTCATAGGCAGCGACTATCTCTTGGGATGTTCCCCCTTATACTAACAGTCCGTATCAGTACCCCCAATGTGTTCCCTATCAAGGACTGTTAGTATAAGGGGAAGCATCCCAACCCTAAACCCCAAACCCCAAACCCTAAACCCTGAACCCTAAACCCTATCATCCCTGTTAAGGCCGATTAGTATAAGGGGGAACATCCCCAAACTATCTCCATGGCAGGGTGCCCCTGGCGGTGACGACGAGCACCCAGCGACAGGGGCCCACAAAGCTGCGCCGGCCTCGGCCAGACGGTTAATAAAGGGTTTGGGATTTAGGGTTTAGGGTTTAGGGTTACTTGGAGGTTCATGGTACTTGTTAACCAGTTCTAACTGTACTTATTGCTGTACTTGTAACCATATTAAGGCACTTAAGGGGCTGACAAATGGATTAGAAGTACACTTATGATTGGTTAAGAAGTACCATGAACCTCCAAGTATAGGGGTCGGACGTATTTCTCATAGTATTCCCTTATGGTCCATTTGTCAGAAAACTATACTAACCACCCCAAAAACCTACACTAATAGTATTCCCTTATGGTCCCTCTTTCAAGTAATTAAAAGCTATCCTAGTTATTAAAGGCCCCCTATATTAAGGGTTTCTGTTGCGATTTCGAGTCTGAGGAAGTTTCATGCCTTGTAGAAAAAGCCATCGCTGCTGGGCGAGGTTCTCCGCAGTGCTGAGACCGGAAATGGAGTGAGAGTTCTGCTCTATTGTACTGCGTGTGTGATGATATTGAGCAAACGTATATCATAGCAAAATACACAGATCAAAATAAATGCATACAAATATTTTTTTATATATGTAGTTTTGTTCTATAGGAAGCCCCCCCATTGACACTGTTGTTGTTTTTGGTCTTGCTCAGGCACGGACTTCAGCAAACCGCTCAAGTCCAGGGGGGGCAGGGTTTAGGAGTTACGCTCTGGACTGAATTTTGCTTCTTAAAGAACACTATATTATTGAAATGACGGCCGAGGGAAATGAAACGGAATGAGGGACAGCTATTGGGACAGGACCACCTGTGGCCCTATTGAGCCTCGGTGCTTTTTTACCCTATTGTGCGTTTAAACGGCCATTGGGTGCTGCACTTACTTGTGTTACTTAATGTGGTTTCAAATAAGACGGCCGGCTAATCGTATGAGTACTTTGCAAATTGAAACAGCTGCACTTAAAATGGAGTTCGTGAAGTGGTTCGCAGTGTTAATGAAGGGACGGGAACCAACATAATAATCGAAAACATGGATCTAAACTTTCCAGCTCGTTTAGTTTATGCAAATACTGTTTACTGTCTTAGATAGGGGCCATTTGTCATGAACCGCAGCATTTACGACAAGAAGCTCCAAGATACCGTAAATATCTGGCGCCTGATTGTAACAAGTAAGCTGCATTAATTATGAATCACCTTTTGAGCCACGAGTTGTCTTCAGATCGCTGACCCCTAGTAATGCATACTGTGTCCGCTACAACCTAGGATCTAGAATAGCGATATCCAGAAGATGAAATACGCAACACAATATATACTTTCAAACTATTTAAGCTCGGGCCCTTCACAAGGCGTTCTTTGTGTCCGCTGCAACCTAGATTAGGACATGATCTAGTGCCCAAAAACTTTCAGCATATTGTTTCAGTCAGGGCCAGAGGGTTGAAGCCGACAACAGTGCATCAATGCGGGTGGGAAGCATCTATATATATATATATATACAGATAGATAGATATGTATGTATATATATACACACATATACACATGTATGCCTATGCGTACTAAATTAGATATTATATATTGTATATATATATATATATATGTTTATTCATTATTTATACATGTTTTTGTGCATTATGTATTTGTGTATGTGCATTCAAATGTAGATGTATATACATAACAGGCGTATGTATATGTTTATGTGTATACTCTATATACACACAAATGTATATGTGTGAAATTAGTCAGGAATGGCATGGTCAGTGTATAGGGAGCACTGACTGCAGCGCCGGGTAGGCCCTAAGCTTTCGGCCGGAAGATGCCTTAAGATGCCACCTACGCCTGCGGGGCCTAGACGGTTTAGGGGGCAGTTAGGGTGCGCCACGACTGCACCTTGAACCGAATACACCTGTCCCTTGAACTTCCCGATGGTTCAGGGCTTACGGTTTAGGGCGCAGGGTCAGGGTATAAAGTTTGTAGGGTTCAGGGCCAGTAACTTTGTACACTCGTAGCAAATGGGAAGCTTGTACCGCTATTTGAGGTACAAGGTTGCTCTACGCGCGCCCGAAGTTTTCTAAACCAAAGCCCTACAGTCTACCCAGAGGCTCCTATGTAGTGCCTTTTTGGGGGAGTATACTAGGATCCCCTATAACTAACCCAAAAAGGAACTACGTTGGAGCCTTTGGGTATACAGCTGGCCAGGAGATATCTGCTGCCTTCTCGTACCTGAACTTCATCCGTTGGCTGTGCGGGCTTCCGAAGGCCAGGGAGCTCGGCCACCCGAACCCTCGTTCGATTGGGGTTGTAGAGTTTTGGGATTTGGGGGTTTAGGGTTTAGGGTTTAGGGTTTAGGGTTTAGGGTTTAGGGTTCAGAAGCGAAGAGCGACTGAGTAAACCACCTTAATCCTAAACCCCATGACATTGCGGGCCTTTGAGTCCTCTTTAGGGTTTGGGGTTTTAGGGTTTAGGGTTTAGGGCTTAGGGCTTAGGGTTTAGGGAACCCTCTTGGAATTGCATCTCGTACTCGTTTTCGTTGGAATCCTGCGCTTTTGCCTAGCCGCGAGATACTCATCATCAAATTTCGCAACCCCAAAAGGACCTACAATTTTGCCGGGGGACTGCTATAGGTGAAGCCAAGTCCGCCTGAGCCTACCAGACAAGCAAGAAGGTCAGCTTCAGCGCTTCCAAGCAGTCGGCATGCAGGGTGATGAGCGAGGCTTTGTGCTGGGGTGTTGGCGTGTGTGGGGTTGGGAGGGGAGGGCGGTGAAACCCTAAAACCCTAAAACCCTGAACGCTCTCAAAAACCCTAAAACCCCCATTTAAAGCCCAAAACCCTAAACCCTAAACCCTGAAACCCCTCAAAAACCCTAAAGCCCTAAGGGGCTTTGTGGGGTTTAGGAGTTTGGGGTTCAGGGCTTTGGGTTTGCTCAGCCCCTAGACCCTAAATCCTGCGGGAGGCAGGAGCGAGCTGAAGACTGTGGGTTGAAGGTTCTGAGATTTAGGGTTTAGGGTTTAGGGTTCTGAGATTTAGGGTTTAGGGTTTAGGGTTTAAGGTTTAGGGTTTAGGGTTTAGGGTTTAGGGCATATATATAGGGTTTAGGATTTAGGGTTCAGGGGTGGAGCGCTGGGGGGGCTCAGATCTTCGATAAGAGGATGTAGACGCAGAGCCTTGAACAAGACTGACACCTGAAACAGGCTGCGTCTCTAGGAACAGAGGTTTGTAGGGTTAGGTCTTGGTGTCCCTCCTGTACCAGACGCCAGATTCTAGAAAACGACCTGCTTGTTGCGGTCCCGCTTTCCGTCACAGCGAGCGTTTTTATTGGGGTTGCATCGAGCTATGACCGCTAAATACGCCTTCAACCCAATCTATGGGGTTTAGGGCATCTCAGTGTATTAGTCGGTTTGAGAGCCAAAGTTAAGGGTGCAGGGAGGAATACCCTAAACCCTATAAACCCGACCCCGTAAACCCTCTCTTTCTCACTCTCTCTCTCTCTCTCTGTCTTCTCTCTCTCCTCTATCTCCTCTCTCTCACTCTCTTTCTCCTGTCTCTCTGCTTTCTTTCTCTCTCTGCTCTCTTTCTCTCTCTCCTCTCTCTCCTCTCTCTCTCCTCTCTCTCTCTCTCTCCTCTCTCTCTCTCTCTCCTCTCTCTCTCGCTCTTCTCGCTCTCTCCTCTCTCTCTC